CTTCATCCTCATCAGTCTCAACTGAGAATCGCGACACTACACATGCAAGAGTCGATCAACGGCCTCCGGACGGATCGGGATGCGCTAGAAGTTGAGCTCGACTCCCATTCCCAAACGGTTCATGATCCGCACGCATCCGCCACCCACGTTCACACCCTCGAGCGACAAGTTGCGGATCTGGAATCTCAAGTTACTCGACTTCTGCAGGAACGTGAACACGCAGGTGAAGCGCAACACGGCGGATCGCGCCCGTGATCAAGCCACCGACCAGCTACAAGTTACTGAAGGACTGCTGCGCCACACATGTCAGGCCCTGGATCGGGCCGAAGCAAACCTGCTGGTCGCACAACGGGTCGCCGCCATAGTCTCGCCGGGTCCGTCGTTGTCGGATCTGCAAACCAAGCTGGATCAGCAGACAGCAGAGCGCGTCGCCCTCCAAGATCGCTTTGATCAAGTCTCAGCGGAGCGCGATACACTGAACGCACAAGTCCAGACTAAGGATCAAGAGGCTGATGCACTTCGGGGTCAGATCCACGAGAGAACCATGGAGTTCAATCGGGAGAGGTCGCGCTGTGAGGTCTTACGCGTCAATCTCGCCGGCGCAACCAAGCGCGAGAAGGGATATCGCGGCACGGGCGAGGATCTGAGTACGTTTCCTTTTCCTTGATCTAGATCACACCATTTCGCTAATATAGTATCCTCTCTTTTCTGCAGAACATGATGTCACTGTGGATCGGACCGCATACGCTGACGCGGAACGGTCGATCACGGAACAAAACGCCCCGATCCTGACGTTAAATCGTCGACTGGCCCACCTTGATCGGGAGCGCACGGATCTGCGGCACGAACTGCGGGAGGTGCTTGAGATGTTGTCCACAGTGGCTGCCGGGATGGGATCAAGCCCTCCCACTACCAAACTCTGTCTCGATAGACCTCCCAGAGATTAAGAGCAGCCGGATCAAGGGAAGCAGGGTCAAGAGAGCCCGGATCAAGACAAGCAGAGCCCAGAAAATGGAGATCAGGGTATGTCGGATCAAGACAAACCCAGCCAAGAGAGTTCGGATCAAGACATGTCGGATCAAGGCAACTCGGAACCAGACAAGTCTGATCAAGATCGGCCCGACCAAGATCCCGACTACACACCCACACCCAACGGGTCTGATGGGTCTTCCTCCACTGACAAGCGTCAAGATCTTCCCCCCAGTAAGAGATCTCGTGGTCCCTCTCCTTCTCGCGACGCAGATCGTCCTCCCAAGAGAAAAGCTCCGATGACTGAAGATCACAAGAAGGATCTGGATCGCGAGGAAGGTCAAGATGACTACGGCATGGGCGGGCTTGGACGTCGAAGAACCATCGGATCCAGATCACGCTCTACTCGACGAGCTGTTGGAGAAGGATCGCGGGGCTGCGAGTCCTGTGCCGACCCCCGAGCCGCGTTACTTATGTTATGAGAAGGGTGGATCCAAGAAGTCTGACATCCCAGCAAGCTCGAATCCCGCGTCCGAGCCCAAGCCCAAGTCCAAACCTCGGTCGGCTGGTGATCCTCAGCCCTCCAAGGACGCAGATCTAGAGGAAGAAGAGCAAGAATCGGAAGCAGACACTTCAGCCGACGGCGATGCCAACGACACTTGGAACGACATGTTGCAAGCTCAGATGCTCATGGCTCTTTCTCGATCGAGATCCGAGCAGAGACGCCACGATCATGATTCTCCTCATCGTACCGGGGCTGGAGGAGCTGGAGATCCTGGATCTGGTGGTGATTCCGATGGAGAAGGCTCGAGTAGCAGTAGTGGTGGTGGAGATGGCGGATCTCCTGTGGATCCGGCTGGGATGCCTCTTGTTTCGACGATGCTTCCGCGACGCCATTTTGCTCCTGATCACGTGTGCATCCCTGGCCGCCAACAGACTCGTCAGTACAACATAGCTGACGTGGATCCATGGGTGATCCAAAGGATCAATACCCTGACGATCATGGCCATGACCCTGGAAGTGTTGTCGCGGGCGCTGCCGTTTCGTCCTGAGTGGATCTTCCCCAGTCACGTGCCTCGAGCGACTACTCCGAGATCGGATCAATACTGCAGCCACTTGATCACGGGTCAGAACGTTCGTGATCTCATGGCCGCTCTTCCCTGGAATGTCAATACTGGCGCCAACATTCCTGAGCCAATGTCGTTCGAGATCACAGTTGACGGTCGCTTGGGATTTCTGATCGAGATTCGGCCGCCGAGTTTCAGGATCTGATCGCCTACTGGGAATCGACACATCGTTTTACAGTCTCGCCGGCGTTGATCCGCAGCAACCCATATCTGGCGCTCTTCGTTGTGAACAGGAAGAACCGTCGATCTCACGCTGGCGCTAGGAAGCAGATCCTGCGACTATTCTTGATCACCATGCGCGAAGGCTGGTGTGATCAGGATCTGCTGCTGGATCCTTATTTCCTCCATTTTCCCAAGCGCACGGACAAGGTGGCTTGGTACCCCGGGATCGAGGCTCGCAGTGCCAACCTCGCGGATCCGCAACTGCATCGTCGTGAGCCTGTCGATCTGATCGCGGCTCTCGCCGAGGCAGATCCATGGCGTACCCACTACCGACTGCACCATGCGATCCATCCCGCTCGCTGGATCACACGTCTCGCCGGAAAATTTTTCAACATGGCGGCTCTGAACCCCAACGCGCCGCCTCTTCCTCCTCAGCCATGATCCTGACACCTCTCCTAGCGTTCTTCTCAGATCGCCTTCGTTAATCGTAATACATGTCATTTTCTTGTCCGATCTGCGTTCGTCAGTGTCCTTTGTTCCCATTAAGTCTTTGGTCACGTTAGTCCACATAGACTTCCACTATAATACCTCCACACTTGTCGTTCGCCCTTTGATCCACAATCTCTCAGATAATACAGCCCTAGATCCACAATCAAAATTCATCTCCGCTCACTCCATGTTCATCTCAGAATCAATCTCTTTCCGCTCCGATCCTCTATCAACATGTCATCATATACAAAGTCACGTAAACCCTGTCATCCGATCTGCAACCTCCTTGCAGATCCATCAACCTTCAACCACACTAGTGACCAACTCACCGGTGTGGATCCAGATCTCACGGTTCCTCGTGAGACTGCATCACACCGAAACGGTTGCGACTAGCACGATCTCGCAAAAATTCATACAGAAGAGCACCGCAGTTGAGATCTGCCTAATCTACCCAAGTTGGATCTTCATATCCGCGCCAGTGTACCAGAAATTCCCGGTAGATCCGTCCATATCTAGTCATCTTGCCCGTCCTCATACGGTAGGAGGGCCTCATCGAAGTCCACACGACCTCCTTCCTCCTCATTAAGACGAGCTATGGGTCGATCTGGGAACATCTTGACCAGTTTGATCTCCAAAACATGCACTACAGGGAAAATGCTGTATGTTGATCCTGCGACTTCCAACCTCACTGCGTATTCCCCAATCTTTTCAGCGACGCGGAATGGGCCATGCCACAAATGCGCCAGCTTCTTTGCATATCCCGCGACGTGGAATGGGCCATGCCACAAATGCGCCAGCTTCTTTGCATATCCCTCACGCACTCGATCTAGGTACAACCAGACCCTTGATCCAGACTCTACAGGATGAGGACGTACTAGATCATTATGCGCATCGGCCCGATCCGCGATCGCCTTGCGTAAACGTTGGTTCACTTGTTCTCGGGCCTGCTGATAGTACTTTTGCATCCGATATTGCCATCTTCTCGGATCTCGATCATGCCTGCGAGTACCCCCACCGGGATTACTGCTTCCAAGGTAGATCTTGGATCCCAGCCATGTATCATGTTGAAAGGGGTTTCACCTCGGATCCGATCTCTTGCAGTGCTGATCGCGAAGGTGAGTCGCTCAGCATACTCGTCCCAATCTCGTTTATCTAGATCCTCCACATACATCTTAAGAGCCCTGGTAGTTGTCTGGACCATACGTTCTGCGGATCCATTAGCTTGGGGTCGATAAGCCATGGTAGCCCGTTGGCGTTGTCCCAGGATCTTGTTGAAAGACTTAAAGAAGTCAGACATAAAGCCTGGCTCCCGACCGTGCCGGATCACCTCGCTCGCGCCAAATCGGCGGAAGAAACATTCCTCATAGGTCTCGGCGATTGTCTGAGCGGATCTAGAGGCGCTGGCTTTGGCGATCACATATCCCGAGAATAGATCCACGAAGATCAGCAATTCGGTGTTGCCATTGAAGGATCTAGGCAATGAAGGTATGTGATCCATGGCAATGATCTGGAATGGGTATGCCGCCTGAAGGTTACCAGGTGACTCGCCCTGGATCCGGGGTCGTCCTTTGCCTGTTTCGCAGTCGACACATTCTCCCACATATCGCTGTACACTCTTGTACATCCCTCCCCAGTAGAAATGATCACGGATCCGATCGTAGGTGCGACCGATCCCTTGATGGCCTCCCTGTAGGCTCGTGTGATAGTGATGTAAGATGTCCCGTTTAAGCGTCTCAGGTATCGCCAGTCGATCTGCAGCGGTTTCCTTATTCGTCGGGCAATAGAAGGGTAGATCCAACTGATCCACTTCATTATTCATAGCAATAGATCCAAACATCTTAGCCTCTTCTTGTGTCAGATCTCGGATCTCCCCGACCAAATACTTCATCAAGTGGTCGACACCCTGATATTCCTGCGATCCTTGATCCACGATCTCCACTTCTAGTACTTGTTGGATCCGCGCTTGGGTAGCTTCCTTCATCATCGCAGCAAAGTCGATTCCTCGCAATTCGTTCAGAACCGACGCATAGATCGCTTAGGCTTCGATAAATCGGCTATAATAGTTCAGACTTCCCAAAAATGACTGCAT